AAGCTTATTCATTTCATGATTTACACTTTTTAGGGTTTTAGGGTTTTTTAGAGGTTATAACCCCTGAATTTGGGATTTTCTAAAAATACCACTTGAGGACTTCCAAAAATTCAAATTTTACTTTTTATGGTTGGCCACAATGTTTTTAGACCATTCTGTGCATTTTTTAAATTTTTGAATTTTTTTGATTTTTTTTTCGGAAATTTTATTAACCGAGAATTGATTTTTTTATGATTTTCTGAAAAATTTTATGAATTTTCCAAAAGGCTTGAGTGGGTTAGGTGACCAACCCCACTCACATTTACAAGACTAACCACTCCACTAAAAATCTCATCCAATGGCCAAGATTCAAATATCCATCAAATCTATCCAAAACTAAAGGCTAGGATTTGATCTAGAGCAAAATATCTAGGGGCAATGTGGGGAATGAGCAAGAGTGATGGGGGCAATTTGGTCCATCATTTTCGTTCACTCTAGGGGCTGATTAAGTCCAATTTAATCTCCAATAATTCGGAATTAATGCTTAGGGCTCAGGGGCAAAATGGTAATTTTCCATTCTCGGTCCAAAATTCAATTTTTCAACCAAATCGATCCCAAATATGATTAGCCACACTAATACGACGCCGTCCTTGAAAATTAGTTGCGTACGTCCGTGAAATTCGACACTCAAGTCCCGATTCAACTCAGTGATCAATTTCGCTCAAATGCGATTTTAGCGTCTCTTACTAACGGGTGGCTTTTTAGGGGTTTCGCGTATCGACCTAGGGTTACTCGAGTCGTGACGGTCTCGATTTCCAAGAGAACGCGAGGATTTATCACTAGTTCCGGAGGTCGCGATCGTGCGGAGTAAGTTTAGGATTGTTCGCCACGCGTACTCTCGGTCGTGCGGAATCACTCGCGATTCGATCGCACGTCATTGGCAAACCAAATCTGTCGCCCTCCTTGGATCGGCCCACATTGGCCCAAAATATTTCCTCATCTTTCCTCGGAATCGAAGGTCGATTCACGGTCGAGTTCTTGGGTCCACGTACCGTTTTCCTAGTTAGCCATTCCCTATTAGTCAGTATCCCGAGAGTGATCAGTTCCGGGCGAGACTTACTAAAACGAAATGAGAAATACACGTTCATTTCATTGATCACGGAAGTGAGTCGAATTCAGAATGTCACAACTCTTCCCCCCTTACAAAAATTTCGTCCTCGAAATTTACAACCCAAACCCGACTACTCAAACAACTGGGGGTGTTGACGTCGCATCACTTCTTCACTCTCCCAGGTGGCACCTTCCGTTCCATGATGCTCCCAAACGACTTTGACCTTCGGAATCGTCTTGTTTCGCAGCACCCGGTCCTTTTTATTTTCGATCCTCATTGGCCTTTCCACGTAGGACACCCTGTCGTCCACGTCTATTTCTTCATATCTCAGCACGTGGGTCGGATCTGGCTCGTACTTCCTCAGTATCGACACGTGGAACACATTATGCACTTGGGACAAGTTAGGCGGCAAGGCGAGTCGATAGGCCAGATCTCCAATCTTCTCCAGAATTTCGAATGGACCGACATATCTCGGGCTCAACTTTCCTCTCTTGCCAAATCGGGACAGTCCTTTCATTGGCGACACCTTAAGAAAAACAAGATCTCCAACCTGAAATTCCAAAGGTCTCCGTCTCCGATCGGCATAACTTTTCTGACGACTCTGTGCGGTCTTTAACCTCTCCCGAATAATCTCGACTGCCTCAACTATCTGTTGCACCAATTCTGGCTCCGTTATACTCCGTTCCCCAACTTCATCCCAACACACTGGTGTTCTACATGCTCTGCCATACAATGCCTCAAACGGTGCCATCTGAATACTATGTTGATAACTGTTGTTGTAGGCAAACTCGACTAAATGCAACTGCTCTTCCCATTTACCCTATAAATCCAACACACATGCACACAACATGTCTTCCAAAGTCTGGATCGTCCTCTCCGACTGGCCATCCGTCTGTGGATGATAGGCCGTACTAAACTGAAGCTTCGTCCCTAAGGCTGATTGCAGACTTTTCCAAAAATTGGCAGTAAACCTGGGATCACGGTCCGAAGTGATCGTCACTGGCACTCCATGAAGTCGGACAATCTGCCGTACATACAATTCTGCATACCTTTCCAACTCAAAATCCTTTCGCACTGCCAGGAAGTGCGCTGACTTAGTCAGTCTGTCCAATATTACCCAAATCGAATCGTACCCTCTCTGGCTTCTTGGTAACCCCGTGACAAAATCTATCGTGACATGTTCCAATTTCCATTCGGGGATATCCAATGGTCGCAGAAGTCCTCCAGGCTTACAATGTTGTGCATTTACTTGCTGACAGGTCAGACATTTCGCCACATGCTTGGCCACATCCGTTTTCATCCCATTCCACCAGTAATACTGCCGCAGGTTCTGATACATTTTTGTACTGCCCGGATGAATGCTATAATTACTGCGATGAGCTTCCTTCAAAATTTCCTCCTTAAGTTCCACATCGTCGGGCATGCACAATCGTCCACGGAACTTCAAGATCCCGTTCTGGGATACTTGGAAATCTGGTTTCCTCTTGGCGGCGTCCATTTCCACTATCTTCTGAATTTCTTGGTCCGTAGATTGCAATGCCTTAATCTTGGTTTGAATTTCTGGTTCGATCCTCAACGCAGCAATTAAATTCGACACACGGCTTACCTCAAACTTAAATTCTGAATCTCTTATCCTTTCCAATAGGGTCCATTCCTTGACCATCATATGTGCAATACTCAACTTCCAACTTAGCGCATCCGCCACTCGATTAGCCTTTCCAGGGTGATACAAGATGTCGCAATCGTAGTCCTTGAGGAGTTCCATCCAACGACGCTGCCTCATATTCAACTCCTTCTGTGAAAACAAATACTTGAGGCTATGATGATCCGTGTAAATCTGAAACTTTTCCCCGCACAAGTAATGCCTCCAAATCTTAAGGGCGAAGATGATCGCAGCCAATTCCAAATCATGAGTCGGGTAATTCATTTCGTGCGGCTTCAACTGACGTGACGCATACGCAACTACCCTTCCATGTTGCATCAACACACATCCAAGTCCTCTTAACAACGCATCACTATAGATCTCAAACCCTCCTGGCCCAGATAGAATAGTCAACACCGGGGCGGTCGTCAACCTGTGCTTTAGCTCCTGAAAACTCCTCTCACACTTATCATCTCATTCAAACTTCGTTTCTTTCTTGAGTAATCGTGTCAACGGCATGGCTATTGACGAGAATCCTTCTACAAAACGCCTGTAATACCCTGCCAAACCCAAGAAACTCCGAATCTCCGTTACTGATGTCGGTCTTGGCCACTTGGTCAGTGCCTCAATCTTAGTCGGGTCTACTGAAATTCCATCTCCGGAAATTATATGTTCAAGAAATGCCACTCGGTTGAGCTAGAACTTGCACTTACTGAACTTGGCGTAGAGTGCATGTTCTCTTAAGGTCCGTAGCACTTCAGTTAGATGTACCTCATGATCTTTCGGGCTCTTCGAGTATACCGATATATCATCGATGAAGACTATAACAAACCGATCCTAGAACTCCTTAAATACCCGATTCATCAAATCCATAAAGGCAGCGGGGGCATTAGTTAATCCGAAAGGCATCACCGTGAATTCATAATGCCCATATCTCGTCCGAAAGGCCGTCTTAGGTATATCCTCTTTCCTAATCCTCAACTGATGATACCCTGTCGGTAGATCGATCTTAGAAAATACTGAAGCTCCTTGCAACTAATCGAACAGGTCATCAATCCTCGGCAGTGGGTACTTATTCTTGATGGTCACCTGGTTCAACTGTATGTAGTCTATACACAACCTCAAAGTTCCATCCTTCTTCCTTATAAACAACACCGGCACTCCCCATGGAGACGCACTTGGACGAATAAAACCCTTGTCCAGCAACTCTTGCAAATTCCAGATTGGCATCCGGTAGGGCGCCTTCAAGATTGGCTCAGTTCCTAGGGCCAACTCGATTACAAATTCCACTTCTCTTTCTGGTGGCAAACCCGGCAATTCCTGAGGAAAGACTTCGGGAAAATTGCACACCACGGGTATATCCTCTAATTTTGGCTCCATAACCGTCGGATCCACAATGTTTACCAAATACCCTTCACACCCCTCGTCCAACAACTTGGTTTCCTCAAGGGAAGAAATTCAAGGGATCGAGGTTCCTCCTCGGTTTCCCATAAACTCGAATCTAGGACATCCAATCGGGTTGAATTGGATCACCCTGCTATTACAGTCCATCACTGCTTTCTGCTTAACTAACCAATCCATCCCGATAATTACATCAAAATCGAACATAGTTAATACCGCCAAGTCTATCCTTTCCTCTCTACCCCCAATTACTATCATACAGTTAGGACACCCTAGCGAGACTAATACATTATCATTCAGCGGGGTCGTTACACAAAGCATAACCTCAAGCAAAATCGATTCTATCCCAATCAATCTAACAAATTGTTCCGATATAAACGAGTGTGAAGCTCCCAGATCAAACAAGGCATACGCAGCATGATCACATAGAGAGACCGTACCTGTGACCACGCCTGGCGTGTCCTCAGCCTCCCTTCTAGCCATTACATACACCCTTCCTTGGGCTGGCGATCTACCCTGAATAGCCGGCGGGGGATTTCCAGTCTGATTTCCCATCTGGGGCGGTTGAGATTGCATGGGCAGTCCTGCTGGACGTTGTTGAGGGCAATGCCTTATCTGATGATCCATGCTCCCACACTTGAAACATGCCCCAAATCGGTTCTGAGAATGGTTCGACTTCCCGATGTTCTTCTTGACGGGAGGGACAAAACGCCTATTTCCCGCCATCGGTCTCTTCCCGAAGCGGCAGTTGTCCTTAGCCGGGGCAAACCGCAATCCAGAAGCAGCGGCCCTATCTGTCTGATCCCGCTCTGTCACTTGAGCTCGCTCATACATTTCTCCATAATCCCGGATATTCAACGAGATCATCTAGCTACGAAGGTCCGGCTTTAGCCCATCCCGGAACCTTCGGACCTTATCTAGTGGGTCCTCCACCATTCTTGGCGCGAACTTCGATAACCTTGCAAATTCCGCCTCATATTGATCTACTGTCATCGACCCTTGGCGAAGTCTCATGAACTCCGCTAATTTCCTTTCTCTGGCACTCTCAGAGAAGTACTTCCCATAGAAATTTTCAGTGAATACGGCCCAAGTCTGGGCGGTACCCTCAGGGAACACTTTCCCCCTGGTGGCCTTCCACCAGTCACTGGCATTCTCCTGCAACTGGTACACAGCCAAGGTCACCTTCTCAGCTTCGGTGCACCCCAGGACTTCAAAGGCTTTCTCCAGTTCTTCCACCCAACGCGACACGGCCTCGGGGTCACCCTTTCCATCGAACTTTGGCGGCTTCAATTTCAAGAACTACTCCACCAATTGGTGCATCTGCCTATTCATAGCCACTTGATCCTGCCCCTGAGTGGCTTGATTTCCATTAACAACAGCAATTGCTGCGGCCTCAGCAACTTGGGCAATATTGGCAGCCCTCTCTTGAGCCTGCCTTCCCATCAAGTTCCCTATTTCCTGCAGTGTCTGAATGACCGCATCAAGCCTCGGGTCTCTCGTCTCTTGGCCCATCACACTCGATTGACCTCGTGTCCCCATTCCTCTGCTCATCCTCACGGGTTTCCTCACTACTCACCTACCTGCTATAATTCCATTCAGGAATTAGAGACCTAGGCCAAACTATGCCAGTCTAAAGGTCCTAGGCAATAATCACAACAATCAATGACTCAGCAGGCGGTCAAACACAAGCAGCATAGGGTCTCAACCAAAGAGATAGGTGTACTTACCTCGGGTCCTGCCGCACCTGCACTTTATGGTTCATTTCAAACAATCACTCAATCATGAAAATCAAACAGTCTGGAGGTACATGTAGCACACCAGTCTCCCTATTTAGCTACTCAAGGTCATCGCTCCTTATCACTCTAGGCTTCGACTGAGTTAGATCGAGCTGACCTTGCTCTGATACCAAATCAACGAGGGGATGTCACGCCCCGAACCCTACGGCACGCAACATCCCTCTCTTGGGTCGTATTGGGGCGACGTCCCAGGACGTGTCGCTGACCCAAAACCCAAATCAGAGAAAATTACACATGATGAAACGATTATAGACCCGTACATAATTAAAACATGATCAAGGTAGCAACAATTATCATAAACACATACTTACATTCATAAAATGAGGATTTACAATATCCGTTAAAACATAAGTATACATAAACCAAAACGGGTCAGCAGCCACCAACATCAAAAAGGGGGTTCGTGGCTCGGGGCGGTCAGGTACTAGATCTAAGAAGGGCTCGTTCCCAAAAGTGTCGGCCCTAAACCCTAGCTATGCTCAAGGCTAACCCCTAGGGTATCCAATCCGGGTCGGATCCCGAAGACTCAGATGAATCATCGGACGACTCGAACTCGGAATCCATAGACTCTGGCTCGGACTCAACCTCCAACGGCTCCTCCTCGGGATCATCCTCCGGCTCTGACTCCAGCTTCATCGGCTCCGGCTCGGGATCAGACTCCCACTCCATCGGCTTCTCCTCCTCAGGGTCGGAATCCATGTCGGACTCAAAGATGATGGGCCGGGGGTCAGAATCCGTCTCGGACACGGCATCGGGGATCACTATCTCCCCATCAGCAGCATATGAGTCCCACTGGCCTAACCCATCGAACGGAACATCGAAGGTCCTAAGGGGTCCATGAAAGCCAGTCTGGTCCCGATAACACCAACTAAGGTAGGGATGGGCCTTGAGCTGTAGCCCGCCCTCATCGACCCAAACGATAGTATAAAACCTAATATAAGCTTCCCCGTTCCAACCCGGGTACTCGATCACCGAACGCTCTATACGGTCCGGGATCCCAAAACGCAGTGGTAGGCCTGCCATCCTCAAGGTTGGGGGTCGGAAATGTTGGGATTTAACAACAGTGAGAACGAATCTCAGCGAGTAGGCCCCCTAAACCTAAACTAGGCTAACATGCACCTCCAGACAAGTAACTAACCAAACAAACAGTCCAGTACTCAAACGACTTAGGCCCTCGGGCCCAAATCAAACATATTATCAACCCTGCAGGTTAGGCACATAGTAGTAATACAAAGACCAATAATGGCATGTACACATCATCAATTGGCTACACACACTTGCCATGCACATGCTTGCACTCATTAATGTACACTTCGCACACGTGCCAATTTCCCATTTAATCTCCGACCCGCGTTAAACGCATCAGGTCTATCACTGCTCGGGACTCGCGTAACACGCTTCAAGTCCATGACACAACCCCCGTGAATGACGCCTCAGGTTGGCCATCATCCAGTAATCCGGGCATCGTCCCGCGTTAAACACCTCAGGACGGGTTCAATACCCCGCGTTAAACGCCTCAGGGTTTATGTGATCACACATGCACACTTCTCCAATTTATTATCTGAACCCCGCGTAAACGACGCCTCAGGACAATTTAGGTGACCACATGCTCAATGCCATTCGTACAAACTCGCATGATTCACTTAATATGCCATCACTCAATATGCACGAAACCATGGCCATAACACCCAAAACTCAGAGCATCAATCGAATCCACACATGGGCACTCAATTCAACATAACAACATGCTCATTTTACACCACAACATGCTCAATTTACCATTCAAATCAAATCAGCCACGGTCCACAGTTGGGCACACGAAATCATGCATTTAAACCATCAAAATCACGCAAGCCTATGGCCCACAATGCCCCCTCATCTCACGGCCATATCAAGCACTCATTCTAACATCACACAATTAATCTCAAACCATATACAAATCAGCCACTTCATGGTCAAATCAAGGCACACATGGCAATACGCATTTAAACCATAATTTATCAACATATCGCCCAACCGAGCCTACACTACTCAGCCATGAACAGCCCACTATAGGCCTCTAAATCGCTTCCAAAATAGTACATTAGGCTACCATAATCATCTCATTTTCAAGCCTAATCACCAGCCACTTAAACAACCCCTAAAATACCCTAATTAACCCCTAAACTTGTCAAAAATGCATCAAATCCTAATTAGGGTTTAGGGTTTCTACTCACAAAAGTCCTAAACTCCAAGGGGTGCCGAACTAGGGGAAAATGGGCCGGACGGTCGCTGGATCACGCCAGATCAGCAAGGAACTCCGGCGGCTCCACGGGCGGCGATCGGCGGCGGCGACGGCTGAGCATGGCGGCGACGGCTGAGCACGGTGGCGAGGGAGGATGATGGTGATGGTGGTGAGGCGTGGAAAGGGAGAGGAAAAGGCTGAGGGTGGCGGTGGTGGTGGCGAGACGGTCACGGGCCGGCGACGGCGGCGCTCGGGCGGCTGCAGTGCGGCCGCGGCGATGGTTGCTCCGGCGGGGGCTAGCTCATGTGAGAGAAGAGAGAATTGAGAGAGTGAGAGGGAGAGAGTGGCCGACCAAGGTGAGAAATGAGGGGAGAGAGAGAGAGAGTTTAACGCAAAAGGCTTGAGTGGGTTAGGTGACCAACCCCACTCACATTTACAAGACTAACCACTCCACTAAAAATCTCATCCAATGACCAAAATTCAAATACCCATCAAATCTATCCAAAACCAAGGGCTAGGATTTGATCTAGAGCAAAATATCTAGGGGCAATGTGGGAAATGAGCAAGAGTGATAGGGGCAATTTGGTCCATCATTTTTGGTCATTCTAGGGGCTTATTAAGTTCAATTTAACCTCCAATAATTCGGAATTAATGCTTAGGGCTCAGGGGCAAAATGGTAATTTTCCATTCCCGGTCCAAAATTCAATTTTTCAACCAAATCGATCCCAAATATGATTGGCCACACTAATACGACGTCGTCCTTGAAAATTAGTCGCGTACGTCCGTGAAATTCGATACTCAAGTCCGAATTCAACTCAACGATCAATTTCGCTCAAATGCGATTTTAGCGTCTCTTACTAACGGGTGGCTTTTTAGGGGTTACGCGTATCGACCTAGGGGTTCCTTATAGTTTTCTGGAACAACCACCTTTACATACAGTGAGAACTTGTTGAACCTTTGAAGCTCATAGCCTTGACTTGCTAAGCATTCTTCAATTTTGGCCAATCTCTTGGCCTCTTCTTCATCCTTTGTTTTGGATGTCTTCTTGATTTGATCATCCTCTTCCAAATTTACCACCTCAGGCATAGTCTTTGGAGGATTTTCTTGAACCGGTTCTTTGTTTCTGATTGAGTCTTCAATCGGTGTTTCGGTAGTGTTTGAAGCTCCCACATTTGTGGTGGTAGGATAAGACCCTCGAGATGCGAGAATAAAAGCCTTCATTTTCGCCGTCATTACAACCATTTGGGTCATTTGATTCTCGACTTCAACTAGTCGAGCACGGGTTTCTTCTTCCGCCATTCTAACTTGTAGGCCAGTCCGAGGTCTTCTACCTTCCGTTACTAAACAACCTATTTTGCCAAAAAAGACCCGATATCAGCATAGTAAAATGATCATGAAACCCGACATTCTTTTAATTATATGGTTTCATGAGATTGTCAAGGATAAGAAATTTCATACAAGCCATAGCTTTGTATAAAATTCTTCATCAATGTCTTTCTCAATAAATCATACAATTCAAAGAATTGTAATCCATGGTGATTCTTCACAAAAATATTTTGAAACTTCATTAATCAATTGTTCATTAAGCAATTGTTTCAATTTTGAAATTTTTTTATTACAATGCTATTCATCAAAATAGGGAAACATTAGATTAAACAAGTCTAGGTTTCTTGCTAGCTAAGGTAGCTTCAACTTCTTCATACCCCTTGACTCGTGTCTCCCATTCTTCCACATCGATTACCACTTCCTCGGGAACATACGGCTCTACACATGGCATGCTTAGCACAATGTACTCTGGGATATACGGCTCTTCAAAATGAGTTGTAACACTCAAAGGTACATAAGGTTCGACGTCAATTGGTCGCTTAGCCTTCAACCACCTTATATACTCATTAGATGCCAAAAAGAGCTTCATTTCTCCTTCCAAATCTTCAGGCTATTGTACTATTTGCTTGGTTGATTTCTTCAAGGAATTCACGATCCCATCGACCCTTGTTCGCAACTTTTTATTTTTCCTTTCAGGTAGAAGTTCTTGCGGTATCTCAAATGTGAATTCCTCAGGATGCCAAATAGGTGGAATTTGTTGAACCATTCCGAATTGTCGTATGACTCTTAGTGGGCAATAAGCAGTTCCGCCACTCAATCCTAGTAAAGGCACAAAATGAGTGTCTTAGATAGTAATTTGAGCTTCCGTTATCTTCGGCCATCGAATTCTCCATTGAAGCTAGTTGAGAGTTAATGCTCTAATGAAGTTTGCCCACTCATGAAAAGAGTACTTTGGTATTTTGTCTTTGAGTTTCAAATACTTCTCAATAGGGTTGGTAGATGAGTCGATCTCTCGAATACGCATATAACGTTCCTAAGGTTGAATATGGGAAATAAACCACACAGAAAGTAACCCAGCTGAAGCTTACAGTACACCCTTTTGTTGATTTTGGTATTTGTTCAATGAAATGATGGTCTCCGTCAAGAGTATATTAGAGAAGTCCCATTTTAGGCAAGCTTGCCTAGTAATTACC